CCCCTGAAATTTGCTGATTTCGGGTAGCGACCGCTACTCCATCATACAAGCGCAACATGATCAGATACTGTTTACTTCTGAAATCAAGTGATATCCTTATCGTAGCCGTATATAAGACCGACATGCATACGTTCGACACCTATTCATCGTCATGGCCGATCAGCAGCACGTCGAACGAGGAGATGTGAGTGCTTCGGAAGGTCATCTTGGCTGCACGTTACGCTTCGTTTTGCAGAGCATTGTGCCTGAGCTGACCGATAGTGAGAAGGAGCAACTGGAGAAGGAACGGGAAAAGGAGGCCGAGAAGAACTCGACGAAATGTCCACCTGCACCTGAATATCCGCTCGCCGACAGAGTCAAGGAGCTGGGACTCGATGGTAGTCTTGATTCCTCTGTTCTGCGAGCTTGCTCTACTCCGTGTAGTGAGCAATTAGAATGGTCTGATCTACGGTGCTGATGTCGTCGGGGCAAGGCATCGTTACGTAGAGAACTCACACAGCTAACACCCCTACCCTACATCTCCGTCAGGCCAAGCCTTGGATAGAGACTAAGAGAGGGGTTCGAGTTCATTTGCCCCAAAGTTCTTTTTCACCTCCTGCGCTTAGAGAGTTCTCACAACGATGCCCCACCCGCGACACCAGCGCCCGGTCTAGTGAGAAAAAACGAGCACCAGTCTAGGTATGAAAAAAAACCGGGAAGGGGGCTTTTTTTTCATGAGCTTAAGCTGGTATACGATGTCAAAGAAAGTGGATCAGACTGCAACAAACAAGATTCGCTTTCTCACGATGCTGCAACTTTGCTTGCTTGAACAATTCTTGCTGATATCTGCACCGTGAGCCTGAGGCTTGTGTGAGTGCTACCAGGCGCATGCGGAACAAAAATGCCGCTCGCCGGATAGGTGCGGGGTTGGCGCTCGCCCAAATGCGGTAAAATTACACCGCGACGGGCAGTTGTCGCAAAATTTTCGCGCAACTATGTCAGTTAGTCACGCACACGTTTAAGCGAGACCGATTCGTGGGCGTCGTTCAGAGTTGGCGATCGTGATGCGACTAGGCGATTTGGTGATTAGTTTATAGCTGTGAGTAGCGATAAGAACAAAGTCGTATAGGACTTGTTGCTCCATCCATTAAGCGATCGCCTAATCGCCTGTTCGCCCACTCGCCTAATTTTGCAAAATTGCTTAATCGCGTTTGCATCGCCAACTCTGAACGCTGCCGTACCATTAAAATGTTATGCAAGAGTTCCTGTGAGAAGTGTACTCCACAAGTACATAATGGAGCATGCATAGTTGGCGATCGTACGTTCGATAGGTGAATTAGTCGATTAGGCGAATCTATCCTACTATATATAAGCGGCTAGCGTGTGTCTGTTGGTGTGTGTGTGTGTGTGTGTGTATGTTTGACCGGAAATTCATAGCTCGAGTCACAGTAACGATAGCGCAGTGGTTCTTACATATGTTATAGGGGGTGGGATGGGGACACAAGTGGTACGTGATAGGAACTGATAACGACTGATAATAGCTGATAAGAGGGGCTAGAAAGCGAGCATCGCCAATTTCGTTTTGCCGTTCATATTGGTAAGAGAGCGTCTATACTTACAAGTCTTATGTGGGGCGGTCCCGGGACATTGGTGGTACATGATTGGAAGCGATAGCAACTGATAATGGCTGATAAGATGCGCTAGAACGCAAAAGTCGTCGATTCCGTTGCCTGGCTCGCGTTGACACCAGAGCAACCATACTTACAAGTGTTATGTGGGGTGGGACGGGGACATTGTTGGTGGGTGCCAGAAACTGATAACGATTGATAAGGGCCGATAAGGCGCGCCAGAACGCTGAAGTCGTCGATTCCGTTGCCTGGCTCGCGTTGACACCAGAGCAACCATACTTACAAGTGTTATGTGGGGTGGGACGGGGACATTGTTGGTGGGTGCTGAAAGCGAGAAAACTGATAAGGGCTGATAAGGTGCGTCGAAAAGCGAAAGTCGCCAATTCGCTTGCATAAACCGAAACAAGTCTTCAGCAAATGATAAGTTTCATTTCTGACTATTAAGAAAACCCAAACTCATTAAACCGCTAATCCTTTCGTGGTTCTAAATAATGGTGAATGTAAATGAATGATAAGCATTAGCTCCTCACTTATGTAATAGGCATATTTCGTTTTGATTTTGAGACTGACAGCAATCCTATTCACCGCTAAATTATCTTAATTTCAAGAAAAATGCTGGATGTTTACAGAGTTGTGATCAATATACCAGTTCAGCTCAGACGTTATCACGCGTATTCTCGATGAGCTTCAGTGAAACTGTGGAGGGTCTAACACAGTCAATAGTGAGATGGTTAATGGAGTATCTCATGCTGATATTCCATGGGTCCTCCAGTTTCGCTAAAGCCTGCCGTGTGATGCGCGCGATAGCGGGCGAAGCAAAACTGGTAATGAAAAAATACTTAGTATTAAGCGATAATAGGCGAGTAGCGAGTATTCATTACGGGGACTTAGGGGTGAAACCACATACGTATTATTGAATTGCTCGCCGACAATTTAAAGCGTGGCGAATGGGCAATAGGGCGATCGCTAATGGGCAAGCAATAAAATCAATACTTATGTCTCTGCATCGCTGCTCGCTGAATCCGCCTACTCCGCCTAATCGCCCGAATCCTTGATACACTTTTCATTCTGAAATCGCCGCCTCAACGCAACGGTACAAATCGCCCTAACTATGAACGGCCTCCATACCGCGGATCCCAAATTTGGCTGTTTGAATCTAGAGGAACCAGCATTAGCTTTGGGTCTTCCTCATGTTGCTAGGCTGTAGAGGAACATAAAGGTGGCACAATAGAGTCAAAGGATGAACTGCCAATTTCTGTTCTCAGCCTGCTGCATGATAGTGACCTCGTCTCCAAGCTAGGCGCGTTGCTCTATTCGAAACCACTGGATAAGTCTTTCGGAGTCATCTGTGTTGGTAGAAACCATAGTGACATTATGGTAGGCGGTATTCATTCCTGGATTCAAAGATAGCCACCAAATCATTTTACCCTAGCGCTTTAAGTGACTCGATAACCGCTCGCGAATCAGCAATTGAAAATGAGAATTTGTGACTTGTGACTGTCAAGCTGACCCTCTCGTATGTCAGTGTTCGCCTGCGCGTATCAGTATACAAAGCAATTACAGTACCTCTGGAGAGTCCTGAATTCTACGAGGAACTGAAAACGAAACCCTCGACGTACTTCAAGGATATGAAGGAGTTGCCCGATTGCGCAGCCAAAAAATACATTCCGGTAGGTGTTCCGGTTGACAAGGCCCATCTCTACTCAGAACGCCTGTCAAGCAAAGCTTCTGCCAGGATATTGCGCGACGATACATCGAATTGGAACGCCGTATCAAAGTGCTGGAATCGACATTGTGGGCTTTGCCGAGGGAGGACAGAAGTCTCGAGGAAGATAGGTGAGGCCCAAAACGGAAAAGGAGGGCCCAGATTGTGCACATTTCAGTTGGTCAGCCTTATCACATTTGTTTAGGTTCGAAAATACTAACGGAATTACTAGACAAGCATGTCAAGGCTTTGAAATCTGGGACGAGCATGTGGTTCGTTTGAAGTGTACTCTCGCACGAGCCTGCACTCAGGAGAGCATCTCCGCCTTGGCTGGCGAGCGTATCACAATCTCTCAGTATCTGGGGGCAGATTTAGCTTGCTGTGCCATTTACGATACAAAGGAACCATGGGATAATTCCCCACCGCACCCACTTGGGAAGGCTAAATCTTCTTAAGAATCTGCTCGGGTACCTGGCGGATCAAGTTTTGAGGAGGAATATTAATCAAGATCAGAATCCAAAGTGAGATTGCGATACTCGCCAATAAGTCAAACTAAAGATAACTTCTTTGTGATTTTTTGTGAAAGTTTTTGAGAGTTGACATCAGGAAACGTAACATTAAAGTATGGTCACCGCGGCTGGGCGCGAGTTCTCGACTTGACATTTGATTGATCAATTCGACATTATTGAAGGAATTTGCGCTAAATTTGACAAGCTGAAAGGAGATCAACATGGAGTCAACAACGAGCGCGAGGTAGCCCCTTAGCGACATTTGAAGGCCTCTCATTCTTTTAAAAATTGTAGAATGGGGCTCGAGCCAGAAGAACGAAGCAATTGTAATCTAAAATGTAGGGGGCAGTACCGAATGGTCCTTTTAACTTGACAAGGGACATTTTCCCCGATGCTCACCGAATCCATTGCGGAGTAGGTACTACCCATGTGAATCATGACTTCGCATGACCCAGTGCCCTCGATATCCATTCGAATATCTCTATTTGTTATAAACGGAAGTGCGACCTGTGGGGGGGGGGGGGGGGTGGAGCAGGACGCTGAGCACTCTCATTTTCTAAGGTATGTGCGTCATCTTAGCGGCTACTCTTACGGGTTAGAGATGCCCTATCTCTTAGTGATAGTGCCGCCAAGTACTCTTACAATTCCTTGAGAGCAGGAAACGCCTCAAAATTTGTTGAAACCGGCTACACAAATTAAAGGATACCGAATGGCAGGTGGGCCAAAGCCTAGACAGTCAGTGTTTTTATCCTCCCAGACTAGTCTGGTACAACTAACCGACCCCGGAGGGATGGAAGGCTTGGTTGGCCCGGGCGACTCACGTACCAGGATTTGATCCCCGGACCGCTCGCGCCACTTGTCACTACACCACTTCCACCATATATTGCCAAAAAAAATCCAGGAGAAAACTCTTCAAGATATAAATATAATCTACTGTGACCAATGATCCGCACATTTCAGTTCCTTCGCTATGAAATTCGACACTGCGATCTGATGTTTACAGAAATTCATGAAAGTTTCCTCAAGTCATATTTAGATTTGGAATGGTAGAAAGCAATTCCGTTGATGATATCAGCGATGCTAGCTACATTTTTATTCGTTTCCATTCCGAAATAAAGTGAAAATCTATTTTGTGTTGACATCGACGAACACAAATCATTACAAATAAATCTGGCGTGTTCACAGTTCAATTTTCTGGCCGGGGACCCAATACGACGATTGTGTTCCCTTTCGTTGCACGGACAACGCCGCTATCCCGGCAGCTTTTCGTATAGCGTCTGGCACTGATAAACCTTCATGAACCAAAAAGTATGCCAAGCGATCCACAGAAGCAGTCGCCAGCTCCCTGAATAACGTTTTGTTTTAGGAATGAGAAGCCCCCTGGAGCATCAAAGAAAGAGTGTATAATTCGTAACATTTAAAAAACAGGGTCAGTCTGTCGATATAAAGATACCTACCAGTCGGAAACAGCGGATCTCTGGCGCTTGCGAGAGCCAGCCTCTTCTATCAGCGGGATGTCAAGGACCTTATAATACCTAATGCTCGGGATGGCAGAAGCTTCTGTAAGCGCCAAACGTGGGCCCCCACGGGTAACCCTACAGAGACAGAGAAACAACATACAAAGAAAACGCCTACGGACGAAGAGATAGCCTATGCGACCAAGAGTTTTTGTCAGGATTCACCGCCATATGCCAATTTTTACCATTCTGGGTGGAGTAGATCTCACCCCATCGCGATCCCGGTACAATCGACTGTGATGGTGTCCATAGTATCGCCGAACCCATTTCAACATATTTTTTTCCGGCGCAGAGGCCGTCGGGGATGGGGGTGAGGGCATCGTTGTGGGGATACAGCCTAGGAGGAGAAGAACTTCGGGGAAAAAACGGAAGACATTTAAACACCCCTCCCCTAGTCCCACCTGTAGTTCTGAGGGGGACTAGGGGAGGGGAGATGTTGACTATATAGGCTCCCTGCATGAATATGCTACACCGAACGAGACCATCGCCCTTTTTTCCATGCCACCACGACCCACTCCAATCCAAATACAACAGATATGACCCCACTTTGTTAGGGCCTCCCAGCAGATGGTTCACCCTGCATGCTTATTCCTCTGGAAACCGTGGCGCGTTCAACCTTACGCATTTACATGCGCCGTAAGCGCGTCGCATGGAGGGTCCACGCGCATGTGTAGTTCTATTCCATTTCAAATCAGTTGCAGGTCGAACTTGTCATATTCAAAAGGACCTAAAGCATGGACTTTTCGCTTTTGTGTCTATAGAGCGTTTTTTTTGCCAAGTTCAGTCAAGGAAAATAGAAAGCTTCGATGCATACCGTAGTATCGACGGCTTTTACTTTTTTGACTGGGATATGCTCGATTTCTTCTTTCCCTTTCGATGCCAGCACCACACCTAAACACGCATTCTTTGATATTTCACATAGTAATTTATTAACCTATTCGAAGGCGAAGCCCCAGGACCTATTAACCTATTAGCTATCTTGTTGTGCGTAAAACTCGACATGATTCTTTTCATTTATTTCAATAAACACCAAAGAAACCCCATAAATCACGCAAAACAGACCCACTCCACGTGAGTGAAAGTGTGGCCTACGGGCGCGCCACGCTGTCGCCAATGGGTTAAAAAGAACTAGTGAAAATGGGTAACGTTTTGTGAACAAAAGGAGAATGGTCTCCAAAAGCTTTGTATCCTTCAGAGGACGCACCTTTTGCACCGAGCGTAATAATAGCATGTTCCGGTCCCATGGTGACCATTTGTGCGGCTGCCTTCTCCGCATCTTCCATCGTATTTTGAGAGATTTTAGTGATGAATTCAGCCTAAGTAGAGGAAATAGGCGCTATCGCAAGACACGGGGGCACTGTGACAACAATGCATTCAAACCGCGCGAAACATTTCCTTTTCGTCAAAATCGGGACTAAGCTTTAGGCGGGGTAGGAGAGATGTAAGGTGCGTGAGCAATTTTCATTTCCCCTAAGTTCCTGCCCCTCTAGGCATAGTCCTAGAGGATGCCCCCGTATCTTGCGATAGCGCCGAGGAAATATGTATCTTATGGGTTGCTTTCAGTACACAGTTCAGCTTGCTAACGACACTCACCTCGTTCTCATTCGTGCAGATGATGTCGCTGAGCGCCACCATCGACATGTCCGTGTCTCGTTCGCCAGGTGCCGGATTGAAGAACGTCTTTACTGAAACGTCGTTGATTCGACATCATTCCTGAATACACATTCGCCGGCTTCCACCAACCAAATTCTGCTCCCTGCAAGAAATGTCGTAATTGCAGACATGGCAAAAAACTGCCACCAGGAAGCACCAAAAAGCCACTCGTCATGGATTTTTTACTCCCCTACTTCTTGCTCTCAAGTCCGCAATTACGACATCTATTGCAGAGGGAAAAGGAATATACCTCCATGTTTCTTCGCCAACTTCGAATGCTCGTTTATTGCCTTTCCTAGACACTTCTTGCTGAGTCATAACCAAGCCGGCTTCTTTGATGGCCTTTTCGTGTCGATCAGCACAGGCATCATCCAGCTCCATATTTGCACCCAACGTCACCACAATCGTGTTTTCGCCTAGATACAACAATTTATTTGGGCATTCTTGTTTTAAGAATAATCTGTTGGAAGCAAATGAAAGCACAGCGTCCTCTTAAAGCGGTGTGCTAACATACCGTGGGCAT